CATATTTATCTTTGGCTTTTGTTTGTCTGTCTTTCCCTTGGTGGCATTCATACGTCTTTGTGCCCACAACTTCAAGTTGGGAGACTTTTACTCTCCCAAATGAGTTTTTTTCCTGCCAAAGGCTGTGCATCTGTTGAAGGTCAAGAATATGATATATTACTATTAGAATGAAAGGCTTGTAGGGACAATGTTGCTCCATCAAATAGAATAACTTCTCTGCTTGGAATGGAATCCCCTATACTTGCTAGCTAGTTCATTTTAGATGAGAGTAACAAAAGTTAGCTACTAGTTATCTAAAAAAGAAAAGACAAAAGACAATCCCAAAACTTTTGTCCTTTCTCAATGTTATGAATTTGAGTGACCTTGTGTATTTAGTTAGTTGGTCATCACACACCCTCATCTGATTGGTCGGGTAGGCGGGCCTTCTGAGCCGGCTAGAGATGATCCAATCGCTGATTATTTTGTTTTGTACAACACCCATGGCAGTCTCAGACTGAAGTATGTAGCGATCATAGAGCAGCCAAATAATTCAGTTTGATTCGTCAGGCAACTACGGGGGATAGGAGTGTATTAACGTCTGGGAACATCAATCTTAGACAATAGTGCAGATCTAGCGCCCACTATCGGCTGCCTAGGCTACCAATATTGGGTAGGGGGTGTGTGTGTAAATTAATTTTGGAGAGGGAACTGGCAAGCCAAAATATAAACAATAGACACTGTTGCTATAATAGAATCGCCCCATTTTATATATATATATTTCTAATATTTTAGACATGCAATACTTCAACAACGTAGGGGACAGGGGATGGTAAGAGATAGCGTGCTTCATTCTAGAGTGATAAATGGGCACCAAATATTTTGCTGTGCACAGACTGGTTAAGGCTACGCGCAAGCATGAGCTGAATCGCTGGTTGTGCCTAGGAGGACAATAGACATTTAAATATATAGCGGGCTGAAGAGGGGAGAGAAGGAAGAAACCGGATTTTTGTGGTGGTGGTTGGTGTGACCCCCCATCCACCCCCTCCTCCCCTCTCTGTATCCTCCATATCCCCCTCCTCCTTCCCTCCATTCCTCTCCCCCTCCGTGCTGGTCTCAGTCTTGAGGACTTGCTAGTGAATCGGGAGAAATAAACAGACACTGAACAGAGGGGGAAAAAAGGACACAGGGAGTGATAGCGTGCGATAATTTAAGACATCTCCTCCCTCCCCTACCCCCTCACTATCTCTCCATCTTCATCCCTAGTCTTTTCATTAATGGAAAGAAATTATCCTGGTACAGGGTTCGGTGATTTGGGCGCTGGTACGGGATGGAGTTACGAGAGATCGGCCAAGGCAAGGTAAGCATTTGTACCCGTACATGTGCGCCCTCATACATTGGATGCATAAATATGCTTAGCTTGCTGTAACAATGCCCATGCCAATAGAGGCAATGCAATCCGTGCTCCCTCTATTTCTCCGTTTATATATATATATAGATTACATTGTTTGCAAGCGCCAGGTAGGCTATAGCACGGCTCTCAGTATTGTCATTAGCAAGATTGGGGGTGGGGGGGTCTTCAAAATGCAAGGAATGCGATTGAGAGTTAATGCGTGATACGGAAGGTAGACCGAGACAGAAAAAAAGAGGGGGGAGAGGGGCGAAAAGAGGGGGGATGGGTTGGATTTGGGAGGATACAGCTAGCTTTAGCTGGCTAGTGTATAATCAGTAATGAAGAAAAAACAATTCCAGTAATGATATTTGCAGAGAACATTTGCATTTGTCACAATATTCCATAATTATATTAATTCATACTGGGTTGTCTTTACTAATGCATTGATTGCGTAATATATTTACAAAGCAATGGTTGGTGCTAATTAGCTATACAAACCAAATGTATTTGACGATGCAAAATGCTATGTTTGTAGCTAGGCTACTGTCGGTAGATTACTGTAGCTAGCACACTGTCTACAAATGAAATGGCCTTTATGCTAGAAATGGTGGTGCTGCAGGGTTGCATTCCCCGTCTCACAATTTTCGCTGTTACACTGTAGGATGAGTGTAGGCTAAATCAAATCAAGATATGCAGCTATCATCAAACAATTAAAGTAAACACTTTCCATAACTTAGCTAATAACAGTGATAATTTAGTGACAGCTATCTAGTCAATTGTAAGGTATTTTAATTAACTCACTCTGCAAGCACGAGTACATTAAATCCCATAATTAAAGCAGCAGCTGTTGCAGCATGGATGTTAGTGCAAATCATTTTCTATATTGGTATAATAACCCCAAGATAGCTTTAAGCCTAGCAATTGTATTGATGGAAACTTGGATAAATTGGTAACGGTACACCGTGTGTAATAACTGTCTAACTTCACTCGCAGGCTTACGTGATAGGCGTATTATTAACAGGTGCAATGATAGGTGTATTACTTTTTGGGGGGCACCAACTGCATTTTCATTCATGCGAGAAATACCTCTACTAGCTAGCCATTTTGGGGTAAAGCTAGCTAGCTTCAAGGTTTCAGTTAATTGTTGTCCTTGCTAGCTAGCTTACGTTAGTTGTTCCAAGTTAAATGATTCGGCATATTGACTCAATGCGGCAGGTCTGGCTACAAAGTAAAAACATAAGAATCGATCATAAACACCAATAAATGTAATTAGCTAAAACGATGGCTTGTGTGATGTTTGCTAGAACTCGCTACCCAGCTAACTAACTCATGTAATGCTGTATCGAGAGACAGTTGGCTAACTCTAACCACCTAGTTAGCTAGCTAGCTAAGATTAACGCGTTAGCTAATCTTACGGGCGTACTGGTAAAATATCTCAATAATCTTTCATTTCCGTTAACGCATGAATTAAAACGGGAATTATAGACTGTAAGAACGATATTAATACAACCAAATGTTACAATGTTTCACATTTTGTGTCTTAAAATGCCTCGTCTCTGTGTTTTAATGAATTGGGGCCTACTTACATTTCAAAGGCTACCCGGCTACGCACATTACCAGTCGTCGCCGGGACAACCAAATCAATCTTGCTACAGAGCGTGCGTTACATGTAGCAACAGTGTTAATGGTAGTAAGGGACATAACTCTCAAGTATTAGTCCCACAGGCAAATGTTGCATTCTGACTGGGCGTGTGCATGGAGTAATTGCTCAATTGCTGCAAGTCATAAAGCCCTAAATCGTGCCCTCTATTACAGTGTCATTCACTGGTAGTGCCACTTATTATATTGTCCTTATAAAGTGTTACCATATTTTTTATTTTGGGCCTGAATACTCATTGGTTCAAAGATGCAAATGATAAAATCACTGCACAAACTAATTCAAATCTATAGTAATTGCTTATGCAGAATAGGCTACTGTATGTAACTGCTTATGCAGAATAGGCTACTGCAAGTAACCTTGGTAACTGACAGTGTTGAGATACATAAAATACAGTAGTAGGCTACATACAATGTTGTATCTTTGATGAACCAAGGATTATTTAGGCCCCACATTTTTATATATATAACACTTTGTGTTATTTTGCCGGTCAGCTGATCTAGCCTAGCCAGCAGTTTTTTTGATGGCTGAATCCCAGAGTCAAGGGCATCTCCAAGCCCACAGACAGATTGATGTAGTCCTGGTGTTCTTATGATGACCTCATGCTCCCTAATGTGGGATTGGCTGGGTGCCTTTTTTGCAAAAGGTAAAGGAACAGAAACTACTACTACTTTGCTGTTCTACTACTGTTCATGGGTAATGAACCTAACCAACATTGGATGACAGTTACAAAACATTTTCTCTTCAGCCATATTGATTGAAGTGAATACATTTATAAAAACCTTTATTTTAATGTGCAATACATATTTGAATATGTTAATTATTTGTATGAGTATTTTAATCAGTTAATTGATTGTATGAGACTGTATAGTGGTTACACCTATTTTGGTTTCATACCTGTACATACTTGCAGGTAGCCTTGACAACATTTTGGTAGTCTGGCCCATTGGTAGTCTGAATCATATTGTATTGTAAATACAGCGAAGTTCAAAAAAATGCCCTCTGCTGCACTCAACTAACCATAGCAATAATACCAGTAGAATACATTTGTTTAGCTCAGAATCTCCATACCAAGCTCTTACCAGCTCTTACTAGTCCCAGGCATGTCTGTAGAAGACAAATGTCTAGTGTATTAAACTAGTGAGCCTATTATCATCATACACCTGCCCGGACGGAACAGCAGGGTGAAATGAACAGTGGTTGATTGCGAAAGCAGTCTTAATGAAGGATTAATAGCTCCCCCTCCTTTATTCATCCCCTCTTTCACAATCTTGAGGACTGCAGCTCACTCCATCATGGTTATACGGCAGAGAGTTGGAGAGGAGGGGAGGATGGGGGGGGGAAGAGATGTAGTGAGGGTAGAGAAGAGGAGAAAAGAAAGAAGGAATGGTTGAATTTGGAAGAGAGGAGAGGAGTAGGGAGGAGAGAAGATGACAGGTTGAAGAAGGAGGAGAGGAGATGATGGAGAGAGAAGAGTGATAAGGAGGGTGAGTGAGCAGTCATAAGAGAAGTCTGTAGAAGGGGAGAGAAAAGATTGGGATGAGATGTGGAGAGGTTGGGCGCTCATTTGAAAATTGCATCTGAGCAGTAGCAGAGATTAGCACTCAACTAAATACATACTATTGATTAATTTGCTTAGCCCATTGAATTCTCAATTTACATATATTCTGGGAAAGTGGAAGTACTGAACCTGACTGCGTCTAGTATAGTGTCTAGTTCCAGAACCATTCATTTCAATGGAACCATTTTCTTAAACATAGAAATCCACATTTTAGAGATTAAGGTTCAGTTTGATATTTTAGCATTTAGCCATAAATATTTATATTGTTAACATATTATGAAGATTTTAATAGAATATATGGATGTGTCAAACTCAAGAATACTGGACACACTGATGGGTCATATTCAGAGAAAGAAAAACACACACACACACACTGATTCCTGAGTCAGAGAGTGGCGTACGCTAACCGAGCCATGGCTAAACTTAGCACCGCTGCTGCGGAGGAGGAGTCAGCGACCGAGACAGTCACCACGCTTTTATCAATGAAACCACTATGGGTCTCGCCTCACCACTTTGTTGTCCAGCCATAACCGCTCACCTCTGCTGCTATCTGTCTATAGTGGTTTCGCCTCACCACTTTGTTGTCCAGCCATAACCGCTCACCTCTGCTGCTATCTGTCTATGCATGACTGGGGAACAGCGTTTCCAATCAGCTATGGTGGCTAGCCACAGTCACACTATTGGTTGATTAGTGACAGAGTGGTGGCCAATCAACATCATATTACACCGAAGAGAACCGAAGGGTGATATGGCGGTTTTCTCGTTTGAGCAAAAGACTATCCTCCGCCCTCTCTCCTCCGTGACCCGGAGGAGTGTGTAAATTCGTTAGTAGGCAAACATGGGATAGTTCTCCCCTCCTTGATGGCCTCCTTTTGGCGAGGAAGCACAAGTGTATCCTACCTGAGTCCTTCACGGAAGAGTTTTGAAATCTGCCACACCCCCTTTGAATCAGCAATTTTTTATCGAAGGATAAAAGCATGCAAACATTTAAAAACAATATGCTACTTATCTTTTTATCTATAAAAGGTATTGCACTAGCTTAATTGTTTTTATCAGTTTATACATTTAATATGGGATTCCACCCTGTAAACGTAATTTGCCTGATGACGCGCGATTGGAGAAGGAGAGTCTAATTTCATACAGCCATTTTCGTCCACTTTCCCTCTCCTCGCCGCCTCTCCTCAATTACCTTTGACCTTTTTCAAAAGGAGGCGAGAGAGGACAGAGGAGAGAGGACGCATGAGGTAAGCAAATCTAATTGATAAAAGGCCATGGTTATCGTTCAAAAATAGAACCACAGTAAACAGTTAATAATACCTTTCTTTATGCATAACACTGGTGACTTCATGACCATGCCCAAACTTTGATTTATTGACTCTGTGATTTATTGACTCAAATTGAAATCTTGACCTCAGTCTGTTTTACGATTTTTTTTTGTTCTTCTCCTAGTAATTAGGGACTGATTTAGACCTGACATCAGGTCAGTGCAATCAGGTAGAACATAAAACCAGCAGTACTCTGGACTTCATAGAGTAAGATTTGAATACCCCTGGTATACAACATGAGTATCCCAATTCGGATGTATCAAGTCTGCAGCACTTCTGGTTTTCATGATTGATTGATTGAAGGGCTATTCGACGATTGAAAATAAATATAAAGTCAATGTTGCCTGAGACAACATTACATACATTCACCCTATAATCAGAGAAAGATTCAGACCTGAGACACTAAGTGAGTGGACTCTCTGGCCAATCAATTAGGCTACATTCATCAATCAATTATCTACCAAAGAGAAAAGAAAAACAGCTGTACTGCAGATCTCGATACCAGGATTTAGATAACCCCGATAGAAAAGTATAATGCAATTTCTAATTTCTCTCCCCTTCCTCCCTTCTTTCCTCAGCCTGGTGTATGGGAGTTCTAGGTCTTCCCATCCGGACTCAGAGCTGCTCCATCGCCAGGCTTATGGCACCCCCCACCCTCTGCAGGGCTACGCAACCAATCACCATCCTGGCAGCTCTGGACAGGGCGGGGCATGGGGGGCTGGGCGGAGTCTAGGTAAGGGGCCGGGCTAATATAAACTTTGATTCAAATGTAAAATTGAGGTCTCTGCATGATGCCAAAAGGTTGTCAATATAGAATTTTAGTATACCTGTTATTACAATACAATATTGTCCTATCCTATACACACAGTCAGGGAGCATTTTTCTCTCTATCGAAGTTTTTTTGTTTAGATTAGACTTTTGTTTATATGAGTCATTATAAACAGAAAAATGTGTGTGGTTGAGTAAATGCTTTTGTGTCTATGTCCTCTAGGGTTATCTGGGCTGTTTGATACTGGGTTACACCATGCCAGTCCCTCTGGTCCAGACCCATCTGTCATGAACCTGATTTCAGCACTGGAGTCCCAGGGTCGGCAGCCGCCCCCCTCAGCCTCCTCCCTCCTCTCCCAGTTCCGAACACCCTCCTGGCAGACTGGTGAGTGCAGGAGCCAGTCATGAGTCATGTTCAAGTACAACTGATTGTGTTCATCATTTTCTGAGTGTTATGAAAGACAGCAGCACATTTCTAATAACCTCTGTTACTTGTCTTTCTCTCTATCTCCATTTCCCATAGCGATGCACACTCAGCCAGAGCTCTTCATCGGGTCTGGCTCCTTCCCCTCCTCCTCCCTCTCGGCCTACCAGCACCCAGCCTCCTTCTCTGGGCGGTCCTTCCCTGGCGCCTCGCTCTCCCTCCAGGACTCCCCCACCTTCAGCCCCACGTCCAACGGCCTCCTGTCCCCCCATGACCCCCTGCTGCACATCAAGACGCCCTCCCAGTCCAGCCTGGGCTTCGACCGGTTACTCTCCTCACAGGGTGCCGCCTACCGTGGGTCGCAGGACCCCACAGGGCCGCCGCAAACAACCTCCTCTTCGTCAGGCCGCCACCTACCCCCTCCCCAGTTTAACCTGCTGTCCTCCCAGCTCCAGGACCAGTCCTCCCAGTTGTACAACGCCTCTGTGTTCTCATCGGCACCCGCCCCGCCGCCACCCCAGCCATCCCAGGAGAGGGCCATCCCCCGGCAGGACAGCGTGATCAAGCACTACCAGCGCTCCTCTCCGGCTCAGTCGCAGCTCTCCTCCTCAGCCCCCCACCCCCTGCAGCAATACCTTAGCTGTGGGGCATCGGGTTACCAGCAGATCTCCCACCACCGGCATGGAGGGGTGTCCTGCAGCCCGCTGGGGGAGCAGAGCCCTTCAGCAGACCCCAAACCCTCCCCCCGGTCAGATCAAGTGTACCGCCCCATCATCCAGACCCCGTATACCTCCTCAGCTGCCTCCTCGTCAGGTGGAGGTCTAGGGAAGGGGGCTAAGAACTCCAGCTCCAGTAGCGGCTACTCTTCCTCGGGCTCCTCGTCATCCCGAACCCCCCACACCCCGCCCTCAGCCTCCTCCACCTCCTCGTCCTCCTCAAACTCCAACCCTAACCCTTCCTCCAGCTCCTCGTCGGCCCCCTCCAGACAGCAGCCCCCAACTCAGTCTGCGCCCCCTCCCCCACCTCCCCTTCCAGTCTCCTCCGCCCCGGCCCAGCAGCCTCCTCCTAAACCCTGCCTGTCAGCATACGGCTCCCCTGTGGCCCCCGTCAAGCCCACCGCAGGCCTCCCTGGACAGACACCTCCCCAGCAGCAGTCCCAGTCCTACTCCCCCAGCCAGCCCCCTCCCTCACACCTTCCCTCCCACCAGCCCTATGGGGGCTTCAACTCCCCCCAGGCCCAGGATCTGACCTCTGGTCCTGGGGGTTCTGGGAAAGGGTATGGAGGACTAGGGCCAGGAGGCCGCTCCTTCTCTGCCGAGGTGGTCTACGGGACGGACTCAGGATACGGCTCGCTGCCTACCTCCCTTGGGGGAGCGGGCAGTCCCTCGTTGGGGTACGGTGGCCCAAGGCACTCCCCTGCCCTCCTGGGGTCTGGAGGGGGTGGAGGGTCAGCCGGCAGCGGGGCAGGGTCTGGGGCTGGTGGAGGTGGAGGTGGATCAGGAGGTGGGGGCGCAGGATCAGGTGGTAGCAGCTCATACCACCTCCCTGACTCCAGCCCTTCTCCCTCCAGCAACTCTGGCATCATTCGACCTGGGCTGCACTCTCCTGCTCCCAGCCGCCCTGCCCAGTCCCCCGGGGGAGCCGGGGGGAACAAATACCTCTCCTCCGTCCTCTCCCCTGCCTTCCTCTCCTCTCCGCAGGGCTACCCCGACACCCGAGGCCCCCAGCCTCAGTCCTACCACCCCACCACCCCCAAGCCCAAGCCAGACACTGACATGCTGGGAGTGGAGCGCTCTCAAGACGAGGAGGATGACGATGACTTCCTGATCCAGCACTTGCTGCATGCCCAGAGCCCTGCGCCCCACCCGTCCCAGCACCACTCCCAGCAGCAGCCGCCCCAGTCCATCCCTCAAGCCAGGGATGCGGGCAAAGGTCTGGCCTACGACCTGAATAAGGCCTCTGAGGAGCGCTACCACCTCCAGAGCGTCATCCGCACCAACAGCGCCACCAACAGCACGGGCCCCGGTACTGCAGGTAACGTCAGCGGAGGTGGCCTGGAGAGCCAGTTGGAGATGTCTCTGAAGAAACAGCAGCAGCAGCAGGCCAAGAACGAACGAGGGCTGTCTGGAGCAGGAGCCAGTGGAGGAAGAGGGGGGGCAGACTCCCTCTCCCACGCCAACCCTCACGTCCCCTATCCGCACCAACACGACACCCTCGGCTCAGTGGTGCACTACGGCAGGGGCGACCCTTACGCCCAACACCCTCACTCCCAGCACCCCCACCATCCCTCGCAGGCCCCCTCACACACCCAGCACTCCCAACACGCCCACCCCCACTCCCACGGCCACCCTCATATGGAGCTCAAAAAGCCTCCCGACCCGTCCGAGCTGCCATACCTGCGGAAGACACCCGAACTGCAGCAGCAGCCCCGACAGTCCCAGTCCTCCCTTTCCCTCATGGACTCCCCCCCAAACCAGCCCCAGCAGCCTCCCTCTGCCCACATGCTCCAGTCTGTACTGTCCCACACTACCTGCAACAAGATGGACACCCAGCAAGCTGCTTCTCAGCAGCAGCAGCACTCCATGAGTCAGCAGGCCATGATGGGGGCAGGTGGAGAGGCAGAGCCTGGGGGACAAGCGAGGGTGGATCCCCAGCCCCATTCTCAATCCCAGCTGCAGCTCCAACTCCAGTCCCAGGCTATGGAGGCCCACTACGGCCAGAACCAAGCCAGCCAGAACTCGGTATCTCCGCTGGACATGCTGGAGCACACCCTGTCTCGGGCCAACAGCAGAGACAGTGGAGGGGCCGTGGAGAGAAGTGGGGTGGGGGGAGGAGATGGGGGCAGTAGTGACGGACACAGACAACAACAGCAGCAGCACAGGCTGCCATCTCATCACCACTCCCAACAAACTGCCTCCAAGCTTCACGACTTCCTCTCCGAGCCAGATCTGGGCATAACCACACCCTCCCACCTGCACCACCTCAACCCACACCACCCCCACGTCCATCACCAACAGCAGACCCACCCGCACCACCCCCTCCCGCACACCCATGCCCACCCCCACTCCCACCACCTGGCGACCAACGCAGGGCCCCAGCAGCAGCCTCCGCCCCATCAGAGGGACCAGGAGCCCCAGCTCTGCCAATCCCAGTTGGACCAGCTCAAAGAGCACCAGTTTGACACGGTGAGCCCCGTGGGGAAAGCGGGCCAGAACCAAGGCCAGCAGCAGCAGCAAAGGTTTGTGCCTCTGACCTCCATCTGTTTCCCAGACTCCCTCTTACAGGATGAGGATCGCTCCTTCTTCCCCGGTATGGAGGATATGTTCTGCTCTGACGACTACTCCAAGTCAAGCTGCGCCGGGGGTCCCGGGGCAGGCCAAGGGGTGCAAGAAGGTATGTCTGAGGCACGTGGACAGGGACCAGACAGCATGGAGGACGTCAAGACCAGTGATGGAGGAGGTGGCTATGACATGATGGGTCACCATGGCGACCATGGGTATGGGTATTGCCACGGCCTCACGGAAACAGAAAACAGCACCATGCATCTGGACCTGGACTCCCTGAAAACCCACGAGCTCCCCTCCACTGTGAACACAGAGCAGCTCGGCCTCATCCAGTCCCAGACCCCGGGCCTTGGCTTGGGGGGTCCAGGGGGAGTTCCTGGGGACGGCTCCGCCAACAAGATGATTGGGGGTACGGGCGTGGGCGGAGGTTCCAGTCTGGCCGGGCTGACGTCGCCCATCTTCTGCTCCTCCCGACCCAAGAAGCTGCTGAAGACCAGCTCCTTCCACCTGCTGAAGCAGCGCCGCGACCCGCAGCTGCAGGCCAAGAAGAACTACGCCCAGGAGTACGAGTTCGAGGACGACGAGGACAAGGCTGATGTTCCCGCTGACATCCGCCTGAACAGCCGGCGGCTCCCTGACCTCCTCCCCGACCTGGTGTCCAGCTGCAGGAAGGCGGGAGGAGGAGGGGCCTCTGGGGTGGGCTCCCTCAGCCCTCTGATGGGCGACCTGGACTTCTGCCACCCATCCGGCTACCCCTCCCTTGGCCCCCCTCCTCAGCTCCTACCCCACGACGGGCCCAAGAAGAGGGGCAGGAAACCGACCAAACCCAAACGCGAGGGGCCGCCTCGGCCCAGAGGGCGCCCTCGCATTCGCCCGCTCCCGGAGCCGCCCTACTGTAGGGGACTGATGGGAAATGTAGGCGGGGAGACCCGCAGGGGTCGTGGGCGGGGTAGGGGGCGTGGCAGGAAGGAGGAAGGGATGATAGAGCTGCACCGAGACAAAGTACCCGACCTCCAATATCAACAACAACAACAGCAGTTCCACCAACAACAGCACTTTCAACAACAGCAGCACCAACACCATCACCTCAAACAGCAGCAGAATCTACAGCCTCAACATCAACAGCAGCAACAGCAGCAGCACCTACAACATCTTCATCAACAACAACAACAACAACCACAGCACCAGAAACCTTTCAAGCCTATCAAGGTAAGGGAGACATGAGCAGAGTGATATCATGTTTTGATAGCGAGTTGTATGGACTCCGTAAAGATTACAGTGCCTTCAGAAAGTATTCATACCCCTTGACCTATTCCACATTTAGTTGTGTTAAAGCCTGAATTCAAAATGGATTAAATGTTATTTTTTTCTCACCGATCTCCACGCAATACCCCATAATGACAAAGTGAAAACCTGTTTTTAGAAATCTTAGCAAATGTATTGAAAATGAAATACAGACATATCTAATTTACATACAGTGGGGAAAAAAAGTATTTAGTCAGCCACCAATTGTGCAAGTTCTCCCACTTAAAAAGATGAGAGGCCTGTAATTTTCGTCATAGGTACACATCAACTATGACAGACAAAATTAGATTTCTTTTCTCCAGAAAATCATATTGTAGGATTTTTAATGAATTTATTTGCAAATTATGGTGGAAAATAAGTATTTGGTCACCTACAAACAAGCAAGATTTCTGGCTCTCACAGACCTGTAACTTCTTCTTTAAGAGGCTCCTCTGTCCTCCACTCGTTACCTGTATTAATGGCACCTGTTTGAACTTGTTATCAGTATAAAAGACAACTGTCCACAACCTCAAACAGTCACACTCCAATCTCCACTATGACCAAGACCAAAGAGCTGTCAAAGGACACCAGAAACAAAATTGTAGACCTGCACCAGGCTGGGAAGACTGAATCTGCAATAGGTAAGCAGCTTGGTCTGAAGAAATCAACTGTGGGAGCAATTATTAGGAAATGGAAGACATACAAGACCACTGATAATCTCCCTCGATCTGGGGCTCCACGCAAGATCTCACCCCGTGGGGTCAAAATGATCACAAGAACGGTGAGCAAAAATCCCAGAACCACACGGGGGGACCTAGTGAATGACCTGCAGAGAGCTGGGACCAAAGTAACAAAGCCTACCATCAGTAACACACTATGCCGCCAGTGACTCAAATCCTGCAGTGCCAGACGTGTCCCCCTGCTTAAGCCAGTACATGTCCAGGCCTGTCTGAAGTTTGCTAGAGTGCATTTGGATGATCCAGAAGAGGATTGGGAGAATGTCATATGGTCAGATGAAACCAAAATAGAACTTTTTGGTAAAAACTCAACTCGTCGTGTTTGAATGCTGAGTTGCATCCAAAGAACACCATACCTACTGTGAAGCATGGGGGTGGAAACATCATGCTTTGGGAGTGTTTTTCTGCAAAGGGACCAGGACGACTGATCCGTGTAAAGGAAAGAATGAATGGGGCCATGTATCGTGAGATTTTGAGTGAAAACCTCCTTCCATCAGCAAGGGCATTGAAGATGAAACGTGGCTGGGTCTTTCAGCATGACAATGATCCCAAACACACCGCCCGGGCAACGAAGGAGTGGCTTCTTAAGAAGCATTTCAAGGTCCTGGAGTGGCCTAGCCAGTCTCCAGATCTCAACCCCATAGAAAATCTTTGGAGGGAGTTGAAAGTCTGTGTTGCCCAGCGACAGCCCCAAAACATCACTGCTCTAGAGGAGATCTGCATGGAGGAATGGGCCAAAATACCAGCAACAGTGTGTGAAAACCTTGTGAAGACTTACAGAAAACGTTTGACCTGTGTCATTGCCAACAACGGGTATATAACAAAGTATTGAGAAACTTTTGTTATTGACCAAATACTTATTTTCCACCATAATTTGCAAATAAATTCATTAAAAATCCTACAATATGATTTTCTGGAGAAAAGAAATCTAATTTTGTCTGTCATAGTTGATGTGTACCTATGACGAAAATTACAGGCCTCTCATCTTTTTAAGTGGGAGAACTTGCACAATTGGTGGCTGACTAAATACTTTTTTCCCCCACTGTAAGTATTCACACCCCTGAGTCAATAAATGTTAAAATCACCTTTGGCAACGATTACAGCTGTGATTCTTTCTGGGAAAGTGTCTTAAGAGCTTTGCACACCTGGATTGTACAATATTTGCATATTATTATTTTTGTAATTCTTCAAGCTCTGTCAAGTTGGTTGTTGATCATTGCTAGACAGCCATTTTCAAGTCTTGCCATAGATTTTCAAGCCGGTTTAAGTCAAAACTGTAAGTAGCCACTCAGGAACATTCAATGTCATCAAGGTGGTCCTCTGTAGCTCAGCTGGTAGAGCACGGCGCTTGTAACGCCAGGGTAGTGGGTTCGATCCCCGGGACCACCCATACACAAAAATGTATGCACGCATGACTGTAAGTCGCTTTGGATAAAAAGCGTCTGCTAAATGGCATATTATTATTATTATTATTATTATTATTATTAAGGTAAGCAACTCCAGTGTATATTCAGCCTTTTGTTTTTGGTTATTGTCCTGCTGAAAGGTGAATTCATCTCCCAGTGTCTGGTGGAAAGCAGACTGAACCAGGTTTTCCTCTAGAATTTTGCCTGTGCTTAGCTCTATTCCGTTTATTTTGATCCCAAAAAAAACCAATAATCATCCGCCGCAGTGGAGGAGCAGGTGCTTGTGTGTGTGTGTGTGTGTGTGTGTGTGTGTGTGTGTGCAGGGACAGGGATTGCCACTTTGGCCTCTAACCTTGGCGGAAGCACTACAGTGACCCCAAACCATTGCACTGCTCTCATTGACAAATGCTAGATTTGCTGTGTTTTGCACCATTTAGTACCAGGTATTTACGATTGTTTTATAACGGTAAGCTAGCTGTAAACTCAATGCCGCTAATAGAAAAATAATGTAAGTCACGAATTTGTCATGGAAACAATTGTGTATTCACAATTGAATCAGCTGGCATAGAGAATCTAAGCAAACCAAAATAATCACAAATGAATCACAAATGAAAATGCTAAATCGAGTTTTTGTTTTAGTCAAGCAAATGTCTTCGTCCTACAATTAAAGTACATGGTTAGTCCCAAAAGCAAGAAATCCAAAATAATAAGCAAAAATCAGAATGATCCAACAGCAAGACAATGAAATAAGGATAGATCTTACCAGGGCCCGGTGTCCCAAAAGCACCTTAAGGCTAAGTTCATTGTTAGAACCTTCGTAGGAGCATTGTTAAATCTCTGAGCTTTTTCCCCAAAACCATTGTTACTGCACTTGAAAACGCTTGTTATTTATCAGAACGGCTAAGTGCCTCGTTAGATGGTTTTTTGCCCTTCCTCGTCACTTTTTATACACAGAAGATCTCCGCTAAACATAGAATCAAGATGTTTACAGCCTTCAAAGTATTCATACCCGTTGACATATTACACATTTTGTTGTGTTACAGCCTGAATTCAAAATGGATCAAATGCCCCCAAAATGTAAAATTGAGAAGGAAAAAAAACAATTTTTTTTGCAAATGTATTGAAAATTAAATACAGAAATATCTCATTTACTTAAGTATTCACAATACATGTTACATACACCTCTGGCAGCGATTACAGCTGTGATTCTTTCTGGGTAAGTCACACCAGGACTGTACAATATTTGCTGATTATTCTTTAAAAATTCTTCAAGCTCTGTCAAGTTGGTTGCTAGACAGACATTTTCAAGTCTTGCCATATATTTTCAATGGTAAGCAACTCCAGTGTATATTTGGCCTTGTGTTTTAGGTTATTGTCCTGCTGAAAGGTGAATTTGTCTCCCAATGTCTGTTGGAAAGCAGACTGAACCAGGTTTTCCTCCGTGCTTAGCTCTAGTCCGTTTCTTTTTATCCCAAAAAAAGCTCCTAGTCCTTGCCGATGACAAACATACCCATAACATGATGCAGCCACCACCATGATTGAAAATATGAAGAGTGGTACTCTGTGATGTGTTGTGTCCATGCAACTTATTATGTGACTTGTTAAGCCCATTTTTACTCCTGAACTTATTTAGGCTTGCCATAACAAAGGGGTTGAATATTTATTGACTCAAGACATTTCAGCTTTTCATTTTTTATTAATATGTAAAAGTGTCTAAAAACATAATTCCACTTTGACATTATGGGGTATTGTGTGTAGGCCAGTGACACAACATTTCAATTTAATCCATTTTAAATTCAGCCTGTAACACAACAACATTTTCAAAAAGTCAAGGGGTGTGAATCCTTTCTGAATAATCAACATTATTTGGAAATAATCAGTTGTGTTATTTCGTCTCTTACCCCACTAACTCTCTTTCTCTCTGCATTTTCTCTTCCTCTATTCCTATACCCCTCACTTCAACTATCCCTTTCTTTTTCCCTCGCCATTCCTCCTTCTCTCCATCTGGCTCTTTCCCTCTTTTCCCTCCACCCCTCACTCTCCTCCATCCCCTCTTTACATCTCTCAGATCAAGCTGCCTATCCCCTCTATGTCTCCCTCGGACTCCTTGCTGAGGACAGACTCCCTGTCCAGCACCGACCCGGTTCTCTCTGACGGGTCAGTGGGCTCGGCCCCCTCCCTGGGCCTGAGTCCTGGACCCACCGCTGGGATGGACATGAACATGACCAGGAGCCAGGAGAAGATGCAGCAGAAAGCTCAAGCCCAGGAGGTGAGTGCATCTGCCTTTGCATTATTTGGATTATACCTGCTGTTTAGGGACATTTTTCCCATTAACCTCTTCTGACATCTGGACCTATTTAAAGGGAAAGGGCCAGGGAGTTGCATGAATATCATTTACTCACCTTTGTATTTGGTAAATAGTACCTATTACGTTATTTTTGTTTGCGTTAGTGTTTACGTCACTCACCATCTGTAATTTTGACCAGTGTTCAGCTTTACCCCAACTTATTTACCACTACATGTACATCTCTGGTCAAGGGGGATATGTAGGCCTCTCTCCTATAGGACACTAAGGGATAGTTTCAGAGAATCAGTAGTGATGCATTACGAAAAAACAACAACCAAGATAACATTTTTGAATATTTAATCAGCAATTATGTTTTTTTTTTTCTTTGTTTTTTTTCTACTGAACTCACTGATCAGTCCTTCATTGTTGATTTGTTGTTATGCACTGTAGCTACAGTTTCTGAGGTTTAGGAAGAGATTCCTTCTCATTAGTGGGTGTACCTGATATATATTTTTAATTATTCATGTTCGGCAGAGCTTCTCACTTCAAAGTGGGGAATTTGGGCTTCGTCTCTGGGAACGACAAAGGTGTTTGAAGTGTAAATCCGTCTGTCATGCACATGGTGTAGGAATTGTCCTTTTATTTACCTTATAAAAAGGGTTGGGGGTGGGGGGTGAATCACATCAAATCAGTAATACTTTTACTATGCTAAGTTTTGGGGATTGACGCTCCGTGGTGTGTGACCAAACCTGAGAGTTTTCTCCTCTTTCCTGTCACTTTATACACACCAGCCTGGGAGGGAGGGATCACTTGTCTCTCTTTCTGAGGGGAAATTAAAAACGGACAAACATTTAGCAAAGAAAACTGAAATATTTCTGCTACCAATAGGTGCCCTTCTTTGCGAGGCATTGGAAAACCTCCCTGGTCTTTGTGGTTGAATCTGTGTTTGAAATTCACTGCTCGACTGAGGGACCTTACAGATAATTGTATGTGTGGGGTACAGAGATGAGGTAGTAATTCCAACTCATGTTAAAAACTATTATTTCACACAGAGTGAGTACATGCAACTTCTTATGTGACTTGTTAAGCAAATTTGTAGTCCTGGACTTGCAGTATTTAGGCTTGCCATAACAAAGGGGTTAAATACTTATTGACTCAAGACATTTCAGCTTTAGATTTTTTATTATTTGCAAACATTTCTAAAAACATAATTCCACTTTGACATTATGGGTATTGTGTGTAGGCCAGTGACACATAATCTCAATTGAATCAATTTAAAATTCAGGCTGTAACACAATAAAATATGGAAAAAGTCAAGGGGTGTGAATACTTTCTAAAGGCACTGTATATTTATATTCTGTATTTGTATGATAATGGTTGGAATCTCATAGGAAGTCATTAAGATGGTACATATAATGCCACATTTTCCTAACCTTTACATTGCCCTTTTCCAGGTGCTCAAAGCACTTAGTCACCTCATCCTCTATCAATATGTGATTGTAGTCTGAGCGTTACAGTGTAGCAGCAGCCATGTTTGAAATTAGGTGTGGGGGGTGGGTAGGGCTTTTGAATGGATTTCTTATGTTGGCCTAGAGATAGATAAGATGGAGTCTTTTTGTGTGAGTTTGATGTTCTGGATTCCCATCTGTTGATGTCTGCTGGTTGGTCATGGTAAAAGTAAGATGGCGGCTGTTGCCTCAGCAACAGGGAGAGTGTGGACACAGGAAAGTGGCCAATGAAATGAACAGTGTGGATTTCTGTGCGATTTGCAGGGGTAGGGGGGTGAGGAGCGGAATCCCCCATCTAATTCAATCCCTCCCTAACTCTCATCACTTGCCTTTTACTCATTGTAAAGCGGTTGTAATTGCAAAAATATATGGGTATCAATTGACTGTAATGCCTTTAGAACATAATGCAGTAAGTTTAATTGATGAGATGATACATTTTAACAGTGGTGCAACAAAGACTGTTGTTTTGTCTTAATCAAGTGTGTTCAGATGTCCATATTGATTGAAGCGTGTTGAACAGCCAAAACAGCGGTGACCGGTTTCCTCACGTCACTCTATAGAACATGGAATATAACTTCAACTAGACAACAATGCAAAGTCAATCAATCAATTAATTGACATTTGACATTTTGACATTTTAGTCATTTAGCAGACGCTCTTATCCAGAGCGACTTACAGGAGCAATTAGGGTTAAGTGCCTTGCTTAAGGGCACATCGACAGATTTTTCAATTGAATCATTCATTCAACCTCTCTTGTAGCAGACAGCAGTGCCGATATGCCAAATAAATGTACATGTAAATGTTACCCCATGAAACAAGTGGGCCGGACACTGCTTTTGATTGAATATGGGTTTAGCTTTTTTGAACATATGATTAATGTCTTTGCTTTGTGTCCACCACAGATGACGTGGGAGAGGGACATGGATGAGCAGCTCACCCCAGAGGCCTGGGCTGTCATGAAGAAGCTCTCCAACACGGTGAGAAACCTCAATCCGTCCCTAGCTACACCTCCTAATAACCCACAGTATCATCTATAATTCACTACTCAAGTCACATAACTCAGAGATCCCTTCAGCGCTGGGTAACTCGCCAGGCAAGAAGGCTGCAGGACAGGCCCTACCCCAGTCAGAACAGTGGTGGGCTAACGTCGACTGGAACACAAACATCCAAAGGAAAGTTTATATGTGTAGTTAGAGTTTGTGGGTAGGGGGGTACAGGGCTCCACAAGTTATATTTTAAGCTTCACAGTGAAGTCGGGGAAAGACAAAAGAGAACGCAATGGTGTGTGGGGCGCAGGTAGCTTAGTGGTTAAGAGCGTTGTGCCATTAACCGAAAGGTCACTGGTTCTAATCCCCGAGCCGACTAGGTGAAAAATCTGTCGATGTGCCCTTGAGCAAGGCACTTAACCCTAATTGCTCCTGTAAGTCGCTCTGGATAAGAGCGTCTGCTAAATGACTAAAAATAAGACTCCAGCCATAGACTGTTCTCTCTGCTACCGCACAGCAAGTGGTACCGGAGCGCCAAGTCTAGGTCCAAGAGGCTTCTAAACAGCTTCTACCCCCAAGCCATAAGATTCCTGAACAGCTAATCAAATGGCTACCCAGACTATTTGCATTGCCCCCCCCCCCCCCCACCCCCCCATTTAAAGTTTGATTTGATTTAGTCCTATTCTATAACTTAGATTTTTGGTTGAGGTGGAGACGTGAATCCAACATATAAATTATTAATTTGTAGACAAACAGGAATTAAAGCCAGTCCAAGCAGAAGATCAAAATCTTCTTCAAATGTTGATATTTGGTTGCATTGACAACCAAACACAATTCAATATCACTTTCGAAATACAATAATATGAGTAACACATCCATGGTCACATTTTGATGTTACTGTAACTTAACATTTCTACTGTAATCATATAAAGCGTGCATGTTCAAGATAGCATGCATAGGTCATCGCAGGTCTGTGGAGATCTTCACAACTGCTGTAATAATCTCTGCAGAATCTCGAGCGGCATTAATCACTTGCACCTTGTACTTTTAATGTAATCTCAACTGCAATCCAGGTCATTTGGTTCTGCTATTAGATGAAGCACAGGGATATCACATTAATAATCTATTGTATAAATGAACAAAATATCTGACTTTGTATTCCCATTTGAACTTTGCTGTGCATTTATATGGTTGAAAGCGCAGTGATAGACATTTGGATGACAACTAAACCAAAAATCGGACATTGTTTTGGTTAATTTGGTTGTGCTTTTAGGTGGTTGAAAGCATAGTGATAACACATTGGAAAACTTTTGGCTTTTTTTTGAGTGGTTGAATATAGGTTGTAATCTCATTGATCAACGTCTCAACCAAATATTTGCCAATTATCCACGTTGAAATGACGCAGTGTGCCCAGAGAGATACCACTTACATCTGAAAAATGTGCCAAAGTGATTGAGAAAAAAAAACTGTCAGGACAGCCAAAACAGATGACTTCACCATTTGGCTGTGCTTTGAAGATGCATTAGAGGTGTGTGAATGTGTGTGTGTGTATCTACATAGAGCTGTGTGTGTGAGGTTGTGTGTAAGGCTCTGTGTGTGTGTGTGTGCATATCGGCAGCCTATAGAGGGCGATGTGGAGACGTGAGTCTGAGGTGATTGACAGCCAGCCTCTCTGACTGACAATAAAACAGAGAGAAAGGGAGAGGAGAGAGAAGGCTGTTGCCAGGGTAGCCGTTGCCACAGTTACCCAATTATATTTTCTTACCACCCTCAGATCCCCCCTGCTGTTGGTAAGGTGAACTACCTCTATTCAGAGGAAGAGAAAGGTTTCTAAACCCCAACACGAAGCATGGAAAAATACAGTTATATAGCATTTAGGGAGATATTACCATTGGTTTCTGTCCAAGCTTTATTATAATAATATTTAAAAATCTCTCACCTATATACCCCTTTTTTTTTTCTCTCTCTTTTCCCATTCATACCTTTTCCTCATTATTTCTCCTGCCATTCCTTTTCTTGTTATTTCTTTCCTCCCCTGTCTTATCTGCACCTCACCTTTCCTCCCCTGTCTTATCTGCACCTCACCTTTCCTCCCCTGTCTTATCTGCACCTCACCTTTCCTCCCCTGTCTTATCTGCACCTCACCTTTGCTTTCCCCTCTCTTTTCTCCTCTCCTCATCTCCTCTCTCCCCTCCTCTTAGACGGAGGACAAGCCCCCGGAGCTGAAGTCTAATTTCATGGCCTCCTTCCTGGACTTCCTCAAGACGGGGAAGAAGCAGCCTGAATCTGGACCTGGTGGACCACAAGACCTCGGAGGGCCGGTGGAAGGAGCTGAAACCACAGACTCTTCCTCCCTGAAGGGTAGGATCCTGCCCCTGTCCCCACCTCCCCCTCCACCGCCCCCTCCTCCACCCCCTCCGTTTGGGGACAGTAGCGAGGGCGAGGATGGGCTGAGCCCCTGCAAGCGTCTGGAGGACGAGCTGAAGAGGAACCTGGAGACGCTGCCGTCCTTCTCCTCCGACGAGGAGGAGGACTCTGTCAGTAAGAACCAGGACCTGCAGAAGAGCATCTCCTCGGCAATATCTGCCCTTTACGACACGCCCCATTCGCTGGCTGCAGCCGTGGCCCCACCCCCACCCAGCCCATCTCCACCCCAGAGCCCATCGCTGCCACCAACGCCGCCACTCGTGGCCGAAACGCAGGAGGACTTGGCCGATCTGGAGGAGCAGGACGATGCCGTGGCGACACACATGCAACTTCACAACGCGCAGGCCAACGCACAGCCAAATACACCGTCCCCAGAACAGGTTGGACTGAATGGAATGGACGGAGAGGACGAACAACAAGTGGAGATGGAGGAAGAGGAGGAGATGGAGAAGGAGGAGAGGGTAAAGGAAGATGAGAATGTAGAGCGCGGGGGTGTGGAGGAAGAGGTAGAGGAGAGGGAAGAGGAGGAGGAAGGGGAGGAGAGAGAGCCTGAGTTTGAGATGCTGGATGCTCCTAAAGTGGAAGGTGAGTAGCCTACAATCTCAGATATTCTGAAATGGTCTGACAAACAGTAGTTCATTTCCAAAGATGTAATATACTCTGAACCCCTCCCTAGATTCTCCATCCGGGCCGCCCCTCGCCCCCGCACCCCCCTCTCCCCCATCCCTCTCCCCGTCCCCTCTCACTTCTTCCTCCCCGTCCCCCCTACCTCCCCCACCCCTCTCCCCACCCTCCCCTCTGCCCTTCCAGCATGTGGATGATGAAGAGGAGCAACAGCAGCCATCCCCCCACCACAACCCCTCCGCCTCTCCTCCCCCCAGCTCCTCTCCCCCGAATCTTCCCTCTCCACCCTCCCCTTCCCCTGCAATGCCCCCCTCCGCTACCCCCCCTCCCTCCTCCTCCTCCCCTCCCCTTTCGGATGCTCCAGAGCTGGCCCAGCCTTCCTCCTCGCCCTCCTCTTCCCCACCCTCACCCCCGACCCCTGAGGATGCGCCAGCCCCCAAGATCACCTCTCTGCACCTGGCCAAAAAGCAGGACAATGCGGCCATCGCTGGAGAGAGCGAGGAGGAGGACAGCGAGAGTGGCGGCGAGGGCATCTTCCGGGAGAGGGACGAGTTTGTGGTGCGGACAGAGGACATTGGAACGCTTAAGGTGAGGGCTTCTGGCATTCACTGTGGGGGGTGGTATGTCTTGTCTTCTCACACACACTTACAATGCCTTCAGAAAGTATTCACATTCCTTGACTTTTTCCACATTTTGTTGTGTTACAGCCTGCATTTAACATGTATTACATTTAGATTTTGGGTCACTGGCCTACACACAATACCCCATAATATCAAAGTGGGATCATGTTTTTAGAATTTTTTACAAACTAATAAAAAATGAAAAGCTGAAATGTCTTGAGTCAATAAGTATTCAACCCCTTTGTTATGGCAAGCCTACAAATGTGCTTAACAAGTCACATAATAAGTTGCATGGACTCCCTCTGTGTGCAATAATAGTGTTTAACATGATTTTGAATAACTACCTCATCTCTGTACCCCGCACATACAATTATCTGTAAAGTCCCTCAGTTTAACAGTGAATTTCAAACACAGATTCAACCACAAAGACCAGGGAGATTTTCCAATGCCTCGCAAAGAAGGGCACCTATTGGTAGATGGGTAAAAAAACTACAACATTGAATATCCCTTTGAGCATGGTGAAGTTATTAGTCCTTAAGAGACGCACCCGTGCGTCAATCTAAGTAACATAATTAAAAAATCCCCATCAAAATCCTTCAGTTTAAGCTAGAGATATCAGTCCACCGCGTCCGACTATGTCGGCCTTCCGCATCTGCGGTGGAAGGTGGCCGAGCTACAGCGGTGTTTGTCAGACCAAGAGACATCCCGAAAATCGGTCTTCTCATGAAAACATCTGTAGCGTCCGAGCCGCTCTTGTCTGAAGTCGGTAACGCTGATGTGACAACTTCTGTCTGTAGCGTCCAACCGTTTGGGCAACAAACTAATATCAGTTTTGCTCTACGACCCCCACAAGTGTCACAGGACTCATCTGAAGGTAAATGAATGGAAGTATGGAGGTAGTTTTGTGCCAATAAAAATAAGGGGTTAAATATGTGTAAAAAATTAATAAAACGTATGTATTTCCTGAGCTTATATCTCATAGATATAGGACAGACACTTCAAAACGTTATTCTTTATTCTTTATTTTTTGACTATTTATTTGCCATTTATGAACGTGATTTTCAATGCGTTTCTATGGGCTATAGTAGTAAAGGCCAAGTTCAATATTTTATCAAATAATACAAAAGGGGTCTTAAAATTCAAAATCAAATAGCTAAATGATCCATGGCATGACCATGTTAAAACAATCCCGCCCCTCCCCAGAGGATAATTACACTTTGGATGGTGTATCAATACACCCAGTCACTACAAAGATACAGGTGTTCTTCCTAACTCAGTTGCCGGAGAGGAAGGAAACTGCTCAGGGATTTCACCATGAGGACAATGGTGACTTTAAAACAGTTACAGAGTTTAATGGCTGTGCTAGGAGAAAACTGAGGATGGATCAACAACATTGTAGTTACTCCACAATACTAACCTAAATGACAGAGTGAAAAGAAGGAAGCCTGTACATAATACAAATATTCCAAAACATGCATCCTGTTTGCAATAAGGCACTAAAGTAAAACTACAAAAAATGTGGCAAAGAAATGAATACTAAGCGTTATGTTTGGGTGGTGGTGACTGCATCATGTTATGGGTATGGTTGTCATTGGCAAGGGAGTTTTTTTGGGGATAAAATAAACGGAATAGAGCTAAGCACAGGGAAAATTCTAGAGGAAAACCTGGTTCAGTCTGCTTTCCAACAGATACTGGGAGACAAATTCACCTTTCAGCAGGACAATCACCTAAAACACAAGGCCAAATATACACTGGAGTTACTTACCAAGACGACATTGAATGTTCCTGAGTGGCCTAGTTACAGTTTTGACTTAAATCGGCTTGACAATCTATGGCAAGACTTGAAAATGGCTGTCTAGCAATGATCAACAACCAACTTGACAGAGCTTGAATAAGTTAAAAAATAATAATGTGCAAATATTGTACAATCCAGGTGTGCAAAGCTCTTAGAGACTCCCAGCTGTAATTGCTGCCAAAGGTGATTCTAACGTGTATTGACTCAGGGGTAGCACTCACCTCTGTCATCATGGAGTGCTTTGAGAGACTAGTCAAGGATCATATCACCTCTATCTTACCTGTCACCCTAGACCCACTTCAATTTACTTACCGCCGATGCAATTGCCATCACACTGCCCTATCCCATCTGGACAAGAGGAATACCTATGTAAGAATGCTGTTCATTGACTATAGCTCAGCATTCAACACCATAGTACCCTCCAAGCTCATCATTAAGCTCGAGGCCCTGGGTCTGAACCCCGCCCTGTGCAACTGGGTCCTGGACTTCCTGACTGGCCGCCCCAGGTGGTGAATGTAGGAAACAACATCTCCACTTCGCTGATCCTCAACACTGGGGCCCCACAAGGGTGCGTGCTCAGCCCCCTCCTGTACTCCCTGTTCACCCATGACTGCGTGGCCAAGCACGCCTCCATCTCAATCATCAAGTTTGCAGACGACACAACAATAGTAGGCTTGATTACCAACAATGACGAGACCGCCTACAGGGAGGAGGTGAGGGCTCTGGGAGTGTGTTGCCAGGAAAATAACAGCTCACTCAACGTCAACAAAACAAAGGAGATGATTGTGGACTTCAGGAAACAGCAGAGGGTGCACCCCCCTATCCACATCGACGGGACCGCAGTGGAGAAGGTGGAAAGTTTCATTGGCGTACACATCACTGACAAACTGAAATGGTCCACCCACGCAGACAGTGTGGTGAAGAAGGCGCAACAGAGCCTCTTCAAACTCAGGAGGCTGAAGAAATTTGGCTTGGCACCTAAAACTCTCACAAACTTTTACAGATGCACAATTGAGAGCATCCTGTCGGGTTGTATCACCGCTTAGTACGGCAACTGCACCGCCCGCAACCGCAGGGCTCTCCAGAGGGTGGTGCGGTCTGCCGAATGCATTACCTAGGACACCTAGAGCACCCGATGTCACAGGAAGGCCAAAAAGATCATCAAGGACATCAACCACCCGAGCCACTGCCAGTTCACCCCGCTATCATCCAGAAGGCGAGGTCAGTACAGGTGCATCAAAGCTGGGACCGAGAGATTGAAAAACAGCTTCTATCTCAAGGCCATCAGACTGTTAAATAGCCATCACTAGCACATTAGAGGCTGCTGCTGCCTATTGAAATCACTGGCCACTTTAAGAAATGGAACACTAGTCACTTTAATAATGTTTACGTATCTTGCATTACTCATCTCATATGTATATACTGCATTCTATTCAATAATATTATACTGTATCTTAGTCCATGCCGCTCTGTCATTGCTTGTCTGTATATGTATATATTCTTAATTCCATTCCTTACTTAGATTTGTGTGCATTGGGTATATGTTGTGAAATTGTTCGATATTACTTGTTAGATATTACTGCACTGTCAGAGCTAGAACCACAAGCATTTCGCTACACCCGCAATAACATCTGCTAAACACGTGTATGTGACAAATACAATGTGATTTGATTTGATTTGGGTGTGAATACTTATGTAAATGAGAAATTCCTGTATTTCATTTTCAATACATTTGCAAACATTTCTAAAAACATGTTTCCACTTTGTCAGTATGGGGTATTGCGTGTAGATGGGTGAGAAGAAAGATCTATTTAAGCTATATTGAATTCAGTCTGTAACACAACAAAATGTAAAATAGGTCAAAGGGTATGAATACTTTCTGTAGGCACTGTACACACTCTCTTTGTCTCTGCAGATGGCCCTGCAGACCGGCCGTGAGCCACCGCCCATCTGGAGAGTGCAGAAAGCCCTGCTGCAGAAGTTCAGCCCCGAGATCAAAGACGGACAGAGGCAGTTCTGTGCCACCAGCAACGTGAGTTACTCACATCCCCCTTAAAACAGGAGAATCTCTCATTCTCTTTAATCTTAAAGTACAATCCAGCGATGGATGCAAGGATTTACAATCCAGCATGAGATTGTCTTGATAGTTGTACATATATTTTGAAGCTACACATTGTTTGTTTATAATGACTCAAATGATTATCTCTCTATACATATTTCTCTCCCTTTCTCTCTCTCTCTCTCAGTATCTGGGCTACTTTGGCGATGCCAAGATGCGGTACCAACGTCTCTATGTCAAGTTCCTGGAGAATTTCAATAAAAAGGATTATGTCCGTGTGTGCTCACGGAAACCCTGGCACAGACCTGGACTCATGTTGAGGTAGGTTTGTGCTGTTTGTCCCTGCGTGTTTGCCGTACTCCTCTGGGTCTTGATTCATACGTGCCCAACCCCATGTAGAACCGTAGCCCTACCCCCATGCACTTGTGTAGATCTGAAATTATTAGATAGGTGTAACTGTAAGCAATATCCTGCAAAATTACTAATTTCTGTGTACCTTGACAGGCGTCAATCACTCCCATCGCTCCCCAAGCCACCTCCCCCTGCCCTCAGTCAAACTCCACCCCGATTGGAGCGTGATGAGAGGGAGCGGAAGGAGAAAGAGAAGGATCAGAAAGAGAGGGAGCAGAAAGAGAAGGAGCAGAAAGAGAAGGAGCAAAAAGAGAGGAAGCAGAAAGAGAGAGAGCAGAAAGAGAGAGAGCAGAAAGAGAAGAGCAGAAAGAGAAGGAGCAGAAAGAGAAGGAGCAGAAAGAGAAAGAGAAGGAGCAAAAAGAGAGAGAGCAAAAGAGAGGAGCAGAAAGAGAGGAGCAGAAAGAGAGGAGCAGAAAGAGAGGAAGCAGAAAGAGAGAGAGCAAAAAGAGAGAGAGCAGAAAGAGAGGGAGAGGAGGGAAAAAGAAAAGGAGCGAGAGAGGGAAAAGGAGAGACAGCGAGAGAAGGAGAAGAAGGAGAGAGAAGAAAAAGAGAAGAGGCCACCTCAGGAGAAGGTGGAGAGAAGGAGCAGTGAAGAGGACCGAAAGAGAGTGAGGGAGGAGAAGAGGGGAGGAGGAGAGAAGAAGACAGAGCGCCCGTCGAGGGCGAGGCCCGTGAAGGCAGAGCCTCCACCCAAGAAGAGGAAGAAGTGGCTGAAGGAAGTCCCCTCTGACTCAGACTCCTCCCCCGATGGGCCCAGTGAGGACCAAGGTGAGGGACTGTGTATGTTTGTGTGTGTAACTGTGTGTTAATGCAATTTTGGTATGTACAGTGGGGAAAAAAAGTATTTAGTCACCCACCAATTGTGCAAGTTCTCCCACTTAAAAAGATGAGAGAGGCCTGTAATTTTCATCATAGGTACACGTCAACTATGACAGACAAATTCAGAAAAGAAAATCCAGAAAATCACATTGTAGGATTTTTAATGAATTTATTTGCAAATTATGGTGGAAAATAAGTATTTGGTCACCTACAAACAAGCAGGATTTCTGGCTCTCACAGACCTGTAACTTCTTCTTTAAGAGGCTCCTCTGTCCTCCACTCGTTACCTGTATTAATGGCACCTGTTTGAACTTGTTATCAGTATAAAAGACACCTGTCCACAACCTCAAACAGTCACACTCCAAACTCCACTATGGCCAAGACCAAAGAGCTGTCAAAGGACACCAGAAACAAAATTGTAGACCTGCACCAGGCTGGGAAGACTGAATCTGCAATAGGTAAGCAGCTTGGTTTGAATAAATCAACTGTGGGAGCAATTATTAGGAAATGGAAGACATACAAGACCACTGATAATCTCCCTCGATCTGGGGCTCCACGCAAGATCTCACCCCGTGGGGTCAAAATGATCACAAGAACGGTGAGCAAAAATCCCAGAACCACACGGGGGGGACCTAGTGAATGACATGCAGAGAGCTGGGACCAAAGTAACAAAGCCTACCATCAGTAACACACTACGCCGCCAGGGACTCAAATCCTGCACTGCAAGACGTGTCCCCCTGCTTGTCCAGGCCCATCTGAAGTTTGCTAGAGTGCATTTGGATGATCCAGAAGAGGATTGGGAGAATGTCATATGGTCAGATGAAACCAAAATATAACTTTTTGGTAAAAACTCAACTCGTCATGTTTGGAGGACAAAGAATGCTGAGTTGCATCCAAAGAACACCATACCTACTGTGAAGCATGGGGGTGGAAACATCATGCTTTGGGGCTGTTTTTCTGCAAAGGGACCAGGACGACTGATCCGTGTAAAGGAAAGAATGAATGGGGCCATGTATCGTGAGATTTTGAGTGAAAACCTCCTTCCATCAGCAAGGGCATTGAAGATGAAACGTGGCTGGGTCTTTCAGCATGACAATGATCCCAAACACACCGCCCGGGCAACGAAGGAGTGGCTTCGTAAGAAGCATTTCAAGGTCCTGGAGTGGCCTAGCCAGTCTCCAGATCTCAACCCCATAGAAAATCTTTGGAGGGAGTTGAAAGTCTGTTGCCCAGCGACAGCCCCAAAACATCACTGCTCTAGAGGAGATCTGCATGGAGGAATGGGCCAAAATACCAGCAACAGTGTGTGAAAACCTTGTGAAGACTTACAGAAAACGTTTGACCTGTGTCATTGTCAACAAAGGGTATATAACAAAGTATTGAGAAACTTTTGTTATTGACCAAATACTTATTTTCCACCATAATTTGCAAATAAATTCATTACAAATCCTACAATGTGATTTTCTGGATTTTTTTTTCTCATTTTGTCTGTCATAGTTGATGTGTACCTATGATGAAAATTACAGGCCTCTCTCATCTTTTTAAGTGGGAGAACTTGCACAATTGGTGGTTGACTAAATACTTTTTTTCCCCACTGTATATTGATATATAATGCCATGGCTATAATTCAGAGAGTTAAGTCTTGTGACGCACTGGAGCCCCAGGTTCAAACCCACTCAGTGACATATTCTCTCTCTCGCTCGCTCTCTCTGTCTCTCTCTCTCTGTGTCTCTCTCTCTCTGTGTCTCTCTGTCTCTCCCCTGTAGCCCCAGTGAGAGGGGGGGTGAACAGTCGAGCCATGAGGGAGATGTTCAGGAGTTACATAGAGATGCTGGTCAGTACGGCACTTGACCCCGACATGATTCAAGCCCTGGAGGACACAGACGGTGAGAGGGATGGGGTCGTGGTGTGAGCAGACGATTGGGTGATGATGTGATCAGGTTTGGGGTCAAATCAATTTCAATTCAGTCAATTCAAGAAGTAAACTGAAATTACATTTTTCTCAATGCTTCTCTATGATAATTTGGAATTAAAATTTCAGTTTACTTTGTGAATTGACTGAATTCAAATGGAATTTACCCCAACCCTGGGTGTGAGAGAAAGAGTATTGATCAAAAAGAAGTGAATGAGAGTAGGATTAAGGAAGAACGATGTCATGAGATAAGTCATAAGGACTCTATGTCCCTCCCTCTCTGGCCCCCAGACGAGTTGTACCTCCCACCCATGAGGAAGATTGACAGCCTCCTCAACGAACAAAAGAGGAGACTGTTAAGGAGAGTCAACATGAGTGGCCAACACCAGGTACGTCTGTCTGTTTAGTTGTAGAAATGCTGATACCTGATGTGATACCTAACTATGAAAAGTATCTGTTGTGTTTCGAGTTTTACCATATCTCCATTCAACTTTCTCACTATCATATTGACAAGTGAAAGCTTTAAAACAGTTGATATTACTACTTCTCCCTCACCCCTTCGCTCCCTCCGTCTTTATATTTTTCCTCTTTAGGAGACTCTGCATATGTTCCCCAAAATGACGGCGGACCCCCTGGACTCTGGAGCGGTCAAAGTGCACCTCGGCGGTGAGTGCTACAACCGTAAAACCCTCAACCGCGTCAAGAAGAGCACCACGCCCAAACAGCAGGTGCGTGAACCACATCCGGTCATGAACTCTTTGACTTTAGTATCCCACCGCTGACACCAATGTATCCAATCTGTGGCACTGTGGCTAAACCTAGCCTCGAAAAATTGTGCCTGTGTGTTGTGGAAGCCGAGTAGAAGAGACAATTCTGTCTCACAAGAACTGGATTAATAAAGTCTGGACCTGTTAGTCACTTTGTTTTGTACATTAACTTGTATCTCAGTGGTTTTAACTCGATCCCGTTGGTGCAAACAAAGCCAAACCATGCCGCCGTCCTTCTTTACACTTGCGTCGTCTCGTTTCTTCTAGTCTCGCGTAGCCAGACCTCCAAAAATCTTGTTGTCACGTCCTTTGGAGGTCTGGAGAATTTTGTATAAGCCGAAACGCTTTGAATGGTCCGCCGGCTTCCAGCGGCTACATCTTTAGGGATTTGACATTTCAAGAACCCTCCCTCCACATGGCCGTTGAAGGAGTGCTGCGTGTTAAGCCCCGCCCAAGCAAAGCATTTGGTTGATTTGATGTGTTTGATTGGTGCTGCTGCGTGCTAAGCGCCGCCCAAGCAATGCATTTGATCGGTTTGACGTTTTGCAAGGCTTCACTGATTTACACCGGGTCTCCACCCCTTTTTTAGCCACTTTCGGCCATAGACTTCACCAGGCTTCCCGATCAGGGAAACCCGGTTCTCGACGAGGCTGTTTCTTCTTTTAACGTTGTTCAAGTGTACTTGTATTTTTAGTGGTCCTCTGAAAGTATGTGAAGGGTGAATACATAGTAGACTTTTCCCTATTCTACCTCAGTCCAAGAGAACCCGGGGAGATTCCCTAATAAATGATTTCCTCCATCCCTTTTTCCCCTCAGGACCTCAAGCTGTCCACAGAGACGTGTCGTGTCTATCGCCTGTATCATTCCCTCCACCACTACAAGTATCACACCTTCCTGAACTGCAAGAAGGAGGTAAGACTCAGCAGCACAATCGCTTTTCACAACACTGACCTTCCCAACACCCTTCTCTTTCCTCTACGGCGTTGTTGTTCTTCTCTACTGTCTTCCCGTCTCTCTCTCGCTCTCGGTTTCCGTGGTGGTAAGAATCATTCAAATGGAGCATTTATGTATTTAGTCCTTTTGTTGTGAAAGGTTGGCTGTCGTTTGTGGGTGGCTGTGTTGTGCTTGTGTACAAATAATTACATTTACATTTACATCATTTAGCAGACGCTCTTATCCAGAGCGACTTACAAATTGGTGCATTCAACTTATGATAGCAAGTGGGACAACCACTTATTATTATTATTATTATTATTATTAATTATTTTTTTATGTGGGGTGGGGGAAGAAGGATTACTTTTATACTATTCCAGGTATTCCTTAAAGAGGTAGGGTTTCAAGTGTCTCCGGAAGGTGGTCAGTGACTCCGCTGTCCTGGCGTCGTGAGGGAGCTTGTTCCACCATTGGGGTGCCAGAGCAGCAAATAGCTTTGACTGGGCTGAGCGGGAACTGTGCTTCCGTAGAGGTAGGGGAGCTAGCAGGCCAGAGGTGGATAAATGTAGTGCCCTCGTTTGGTCTGATCAGAGCCTGAAGGTAAGGAAGTGCCGTTCCCCTCACAGCTCTGTAGGCAAGCACAATGGTCTTGTAGTAGATGCAAGCCTCAACTGGAAGCCAGTGGAGTGTGCGGAGGAGCGGGGTGACGTGGGAAGAATCACTCTATTATCCATCCTAGAGTGGATATTTGACTTGCATAACATCAATTCATGTTAGATGTATATTCAACATGTCTATACTCTGGCCTTGAAGACTGAATAAAGTGGTAAATAGATTGAATTGAGAATAAAGGTTTTGAAGTACGGTAAAATACACTATATGACCAAAAGTATGTGGACACCTGCTCGTCTAACATCTCATTCCAAAATCATGGGCCTCCACTCTTCTGGGAAGGCTTTCTACTAGATGTTGGAACATTGCTGCGGGGACTTGCTTCCATTCAGCCACAAGAGCATTTGTGCGGTCGGGCACTGATGTTGGGCAGTCGGCGTTCCAATTCAATTCAAAGGTGTTCGATGTTGTCAGGGCTCTGTGCAGGCCAGTCAAGTTCTTCCAAACCGATCTCAATAAACAATTTCGGTATAAATCTCGCTTTGTGCATGGCAGCATTGTCATGCTGAAACAGGAAAGGGCCTTCCCCAAACTGTTGCCACAAAGTTTGAAGCACAGAATCGTCTAGAATGTCATTGTATGCTGAGCGTTAAGATTTCCCTTCACTGGAACCTAGCCCAAACAATGAAAAACAGCCCCAGACCATTATTCCTCCTCCACCAAACATTACAATTGGCGCTATGCATTGGGGCAGGTAGCGTTCTACTGGCATCTGCCAAACCCAGATTTGTCAGTCGGACTGCCATATGGTGAAGCGTGATTCACTCCATGAATCACTCCAGAAAACGCGTTTCCACTGCTCCAGAGGCCAATGGCGGCGAGCTTTACACCACTCCAGCCGACACTTGGCATTGCGCATGGTGATCCTAGGCTTTTGTGCGGCTGCTCGAACAGTTCTTGTGCTGACTTTGCTTCCAGAGGCAGTTTGGAATGCTTCAGTAAGGCCATTCTACTGCCAATGTTTGTCTATGGAGATTGCCTGGCTGTGTGCTCGATTTTATACACCTGTCAGCAACGGGTGTGGCTGAAATAGCCGAATCCACTAATTTGAAGAGCCACATACTTTTGTATATATACTGTAAATAAGCAAGTGAATTTCAATAGCAAAATAATCGAATGTCTTTCTTGGAGGATAATTAACTATTCTATTCTCTCCCCCCCCCCCCCCCCCCCCCCAGACGGACAGTATAGAGCAGGCAGCGGAGGACCCTGGGCAGGAGGAGGTGGTGCAGCAGTGTATGGCCAACCAGGACTGGCTGGAGACCCTCTTCAACTCCTTCATCGACCTGCTGACCCTCAGCACCAAAGCCTGATGAGGGAGGAGGGGGCCGCGTCCAAAATATTACCCTATTCCCTACATAGAGCACTACAATTCCCCAGGGCCTATATGGAGAATAGGGTGTCATTTGGAAAGCAGAATGTGGGTTGGAGAAGGGAAGGGAGGGAGGAGGTATACAGTATTTGGGAGACAAAGCAAGAGAGTTGGAGTGGAGAACACTGGACTGTACCAAGATGGAGAGAGAGGGGGGTTTCAGATCCTACCACTCTAGTTCTTGCCCAGCGAGAAAGAGAGAACAGGCAATGTTCGGTCTGTGAGTACGGTTGAGTTTTAACTTAAAATGGATGCTACAATGAACTGTTTTTAGCGCTTTTGTTGACTTTTTCTCTCACAAAGTATCTCTTGACTAAAGAAAAGAGAAGGACTGAGGAGTGCGGAGGAGGCGGAGTGAAAATAGTGAATGTGTGAAAGGGTACGACGTCTGCCACTTGACCTGAACAGGGAAAGCAGGGGACCACCGTGAATCAGTCAGCACTACAGGAAAGATTGCGATCTACATCCAAACATGCACGGGCACACACACCAACATACAAACACTATATATATATATATACGTATATGTATTAATAATTATGATTTGTATTATTTATACAAGGAAATTACCCTCCCTAGCTGGGATTGTTTGCTGTTGTTATTTTAAATAATGTTTTATTAGGGTATACATGAAATGGCCTACCCGAAATCCTTTGCTCAGTCCCCCTTTACTGCTGAAGGAAACAACGAGTGGAGGAGGGGAAAGGGATGGTTAGTGGAGTGTGTGATGTTCCCTTTTTTCTGTCTGCTTAAATAAATTGTGAGGGGGAAAAATGTATTTAAAAACTAAGCAAATTGTGTTCTTTATGTTTGTTCTTCAAAAGACAATGAGAGCAGAGTTTACACCTGAAGTTAAAATTAAAATAAATATCTGTTCGCTTTCTAAAAGAAAGCACTGTGGTTTTAGGGAGGTGTAACGGTTAAAAAGCGTATAAAATCTGTGTTGACTGTTTTTATTTGATCTTTGTTGTTTATGATAATTATTATTTTGGAGGTTTACCTATTTGTTCAAGCTCTTTTTTCTCTGTAAATATTGTACAGTTACTTCAGTCTCTAAAGCCCAGTTCCTCTTCTGTACATGATATTCCTGTATTTGACAAAAGCAAATAAAAATTTGAAAATGACGGGGGAAAACAACTTTAGCTGTAATTTTGTTTTTCCTCCTAAAGCTTTATAAGAGAATGCAGTATAGTAAGTGTGTGGTTGACCACATATCAGGGTTGGGGTCAAATCCATTTAAATTCCAGTCAATTAAAATTGTACACTAAAATTGCAATTCCAATGAGGAACATTTTGAAATTGGAATTTGGTGTACTTTCTGATTTGGCTGGAAATAGGATTTCCCCAACCCTGAACCACATGTACTATTGTTAGTAAAGTACACTATATATACAAAAGTATGTGGACAACCCTTCAACTGAGTGGATTCGGCTATTTCAGCCCCACCCGTTGCTGACAGGTGTATAAAATCGAGCACACAGCAATGCAATCTCCATAGACAAATATTGGCAGTAGAATGGCCTTACTGAAGAGCTCAGTGACTTTCAACGTGGCACCGTCATAGGATGCCACCTTTCCAACAAGTCAGTTCGTCAAATTTCTTCCCTGCTAGAGGTGTCCCGGTCAACTGTAAGTGCTGTTATTGTGAAGTGGAAACGTCTAAGAGCAACAACGGCAAAGCCATGAAGTGGTAGGCCACATAAGCTCACAGAACTGGACCGGCGAGTGCTGAAGCACGTAGCGCGTACAAAATGTCCTCAGTTGCAACACTCACTACCGAGTTCCAAACTGCCTCTGGAAGCAATGTCAGCACAAGAACTGTTCGAGCAGCCGCACAAAAGCCTAAGATCACCATGCGCAATGCCAAGTGTCGGCTGGAGTGGTGTGAAGCTCGCCGCCATTGGCCTCTGGAGCAGTGGAAACGCGTTTTCTGGAGTGATGAATCACACTTCACCATATGGCAGTCCGACGGACAAATCTGGGTTTGGCAGATGCCAGTAGAACGCTACCTGCCCCAATGCATAGTGCCAACTGTAATGTTTGGTGGAGAAGGAATAATGGTCTGGGGCTGTTTTTCATTGTTCGGACTAGGCCCCTTGGTTCCAGTGAAGGGAAATCTTAACGCTCAGCATACAATGACATTCTAGACGATTCTGTGCTTCCAACTTTGTGGCAACAGTTTGGGGTAGCCCCTTTCCTGTTTCAGCATGACAATGCCGCCGTGCACAAAGCGAGATCCATACAGAAATGGTTTATTGAGATTGGTTTGGAAGAACTTGACTGGCCTGCACAGAGCCCTGACCTCAACCCCAACCTTTGAGATGAATTGGAACACCGACTGCGAGCCAGGCCTAATCGCCCAACATCAGTGCCCAACCTCACTAATGCTCTTGTGGCTTAATGGAAGCAAGTCCCCGCAGCAATGTTCCAACATCTAGTGGAAAGCCTTCCCAGAAGAGTTGAGGATGTTATAGCAGCGAAGGGGGGACCAACTCCATATTAATGCCCATGATTTTGGAATGAGATGTTGGACAAGCAGTTGTCCACATACTTTTGGTCATGTAGTGTATGTTGAAATGAAATTGTCTGAAAAAATACAGAGGAATGAAACAGCTCAGATTGGGGACGAGGGGATATAACAAAGGTGGGTAGGGTTTCAGAGGTACAGACTGATCCAAGAGAGGGGAATATAAAGACAGAAAATAAATCAAATCAGTGAAAGGAGATGCTGTGTATGAGTGAGTCCCCAGCAAACCAAAATTGGTTATTTGAAAATTCCCAGAACATTCGTCAGGCTGAGGCAAATGTTCTCATATCAGAAACTGTCCAGTTGTGCGGATGATTATACAATGTATGTATAAAACATAGGCCTGATGTTGCAAGAATGTTCCCTTTCACATTTAGTTGCTCTAAAAATATTACTGGTACATTGTGTTGTTACATTAACTGGAAACCTAATGAGAACGTTTGGGGAATGTTCGGTGGTGGTTATTACAGATTGGTGTGCACAACATTTTAGTGAATGAGAACATTCCAAGGATATTTAATTTAAAATATTTTCTGGAACTAAAAAAAAAATTGTTATCAAAACATTGTCATCCTAATGTTAGAGAAAATCTTAACTAGAATCTTATTACGCCAGTTAAAAGTCTGCGTCTGTGAAGTTTCTGATCCAATCAATTTAATCATTTCTTCAGTGTGAAAATGCTGACTAAACATATTTTCTGTGACAGCCCCAGAAGAGTTTCAGAGGATTTGACCCCTATTGATAATTGTTCCTATCCAAGGCAGACACTGTGACAGTACAGTACAGCAGGAATGGTTTATTTATATTTAAACATGAGAAACCATATGCATTTTACACTACAGCAAATGTTGGAGGGGAAAGGAAGTCTATACGCAGAAGAATGAATGACAACACGTTGGAAGAGGAAAATGTATGTTACTCAAAAGTACTGATACCCTTTCCCTTCACATGACAGGGACAGACACCTGCACAATAACTGCTCCCACATCATTGATTACAATCATCATGGACCTGTTATTCCTTCTCCAGTCCAATTGTGATATATGTTCCACATTGGGATAATGTCCTCAGAGTGGAGTGTCTCCTTGGTTGGGTGGAGTGAACAATTACAGGTACAGAAACACACCACACACTCAACCAGATCTTTCCCCCTGTTACAGTGGGGGGAAAAAGTATTTAGTCAGCCACCAATTGTGCAAGTTCTCCCACTTAAAAAGATGAGAGAGGCCTGTAATTTTCATCATAGGTACATGTCAACTATGACAGACAAAATGAGAAAAATAAAATCCAGAAAATCACATTGTAAGATTTTTAATGAATTTATTTGCAAAGTATGGTGGAAAATAAGTATTTGCTCAATAACAAAAGTTTCTCAATACTTTGTTATATACCCTTTGTTGGCAATGACACAGGTCAAACGTTTTCTGTAAGTCTTCACAAGGTTTTCACACACTGTTGCTGGTATTTTGGCCCATTCCTCCATGCAGATCTCCTCTAGAGCAGTGATGTTTTGGGGCTGTCGCTGGGCAACACGGACTTTCAACTCCCTCCAAAGATTTTCTATGGGGTTGAGATCTGGAGACTGGCTAGGCCACTCCAGGACCTTGAAATGCTTCTTACGAAGCCACTCCTTCGTTGCCCGGGCGGTGTGTTTGGGATCATTGTCATGCTGAAAGACCCAGCCACGTTTCATCTTCAATGCCCTTGCTGATGGAAGGAGGTTTTCACTCAAAATCTCACGATAGATGGCCCCATTCCTTCTTTCCTTTACACGGAGCAGTTGTCCTGGTCCCTTTGCAGAAAAACAGCCCCAAAGCATGATGTTTCCACCCCCATGCTTCACAGTAGGTATGGTGTTCTTTGGATGCAACTCAGCATTCTTTGTCCTCCAAACACGACGAGTTGAGTTTTCACCAAAAAGTTATATTTTGGTTTCATCTGACCATATGACATTCTCCCAATCCTCTTCTGGATCATCCAAATGCACTCTAGCAAACTTCAGACGGGCCTGGACATGTACTGGCTTAAGCAGGGGGACATGTCTTGCACTGCAGGATTTGAGTCCCTGGCGGCGTAGTGTGTTACTGATGGTAGGCTTTGTTACTTTGGTCCCAGCTCTCTGCAGGTCATTTACTAGGTCCCCCCGTGTGGTTCTGGGATTTTTGCTCACCGTTCTTGTGATCATTTTGACCCCACGGGGTGAGATCTTGCGTGGAGCCCCAGATCGAGGGAGATTATCAGTGGTCTTGTATGTCTTCCATTTCCTAATAATTGCTCCCACAGTTGATTTCTTCAAACCAAGCTGCTTACCTATTGCAGATTCAGTCTTCCCAGCCTGGTGCAGGTCTACAATTTTGTTTCTGGTGTCCTTTGACAGCTCTTTGGTCTTGGCCATAGTGGAGTTTGGAGTGTGACTGTTTGAGGTTGTGGACAGGTGTCTTTTATACTGATAACAAGTTCAAACAGGTGCCATTAATACAGGTAACGAGTGGAGGACAGAGGAGCCTCTTAAAGAAGAAGTTACAGGTCTGTGAGAGCCAGAAATCTTGCTTGTTTGTAGGTGACCACATACTTATTTTCCACCATAATTTGCTAATAAATTCATTAAAAATCCTACAATGTGATTTTCTGGATTTTTTATCTTCTCAATTTCTCTGTCATAGTTGACGTGTACCTATGATGAAAATTACAGGCCTCTCTCATCTTTTTAAGTGGGAGAACTTGCACAATTGGTGGCTGACTAAATACTTTTTTTCCCCACTGTACAAGCAAATGGCATTGCACACTTTAACATAAGTGGGGGTATCTCCAGGAGAGGAACCAGAGTGGAAAATAGAGGATATGGAAGGTAAACAACGATTGCCAAGGAATCTGAGGACTCTATTCTCTGCTCCTTGTCCTTTCTCTAGCGTTTTTTCTTTTCTTGATGAATGTACCTGGCTAAACAGTGATTCTAAGAGTGGTGTTTTGGTGGGTGATGCTACTGTATACAGTACATTCAGACTAGTGCTACACATAGTGACAGATGAGGTGGGGTACAGACACACGCTTCAAAGTAAAGTGCTTTCAGGTAAATGGATGAAAGGCGCTATATCAGTGGTGTAAAGTAACTAAGTAAAAATACTTTGAAGTACTACTTAAGTATTTTGGGGGGGTATCTGTATTTTATTATTTATATTTTGTACAACTTTTACTTTTACTCCACTAAATTCCTAAAGAAAATATGTCGTTTTTACTCCCATACATAACTTGTTACATTTCGAGTGTGCCCCTGGCTAACCATACATTTTCAAAAATCTAATAAATTGTTCCATCTGGTTTGCTTATTATAAGGAATTTGAAAGGATTTATAGCATTTACTTTTAATTATTTTGATACTTAAGTACAGTACCAGTCAAAAGTTTGGGCACACCTACTCATTCCAGGGGATTTCTTTATTTTTTACTGTTTTCTACATTGTAGAATAATCGTGAAGACATCAAACTATGAAATAACACATATGGAATCATGTAGTAACCAAAAAAGTGTTAAACAAATCAAAATATATTTCATATTTGAGATTCTTCAAAGTAGCCACCCTTTGCCTTGATGACAGCTTTGCACACTCTTGGCATTCTCTCAACCAGCTTCATGAGGTAGTCACCTGGAATGCATTTCAATTAACAGGTGTGCCTTCTTAAAAGTTAATTTATGGAATTTCTTTCCTTCTTAATGCGTTTGAGCCATTCAGTTGTGTTGTAACAAGGTAGGGGTGGTATACAGAAGATAGCCCTATTTGGTAAAATACTAAGTCCATATTATGGCAAGAACAGCTCAAATAAGCAAAGAGAAACAACAGTCAATCATTACTTTAAGACATGAAGGTCAGTCAATCCGGAAAATTTCAAGAACTTTGAAAGTTTCTTCAAGTGCAGTCGCAAAAACCATCAAGCGCTATGATGAAACTGGCTCTCATGAGGACCGCCACAGGAAAGGAAGACCCAGAGTTACCTCTGCTGCAGAGGATAAGTTCATTAGAGTTAACGGCACCTCAGATTGCAGCCCAAAGAAATGCTTCACAGAGTTCAAGTAACAGACACATCTCAACATCAACTGTTCAGAGGAGCCTATGTGAATCAGGCCTTCATGATCGAATTGCTGCAAAGAAACCACTACTAAAGGACACCAATAAGAAGAAGAGACTTGCTTCGGCCAAGAAATACGAGCAATGGACATTGTCCTCTGAGATTTTTGGTTCCAACCGCCATGTCTTTGTGAGACGCAGAGTAGGTGAACGGATGATCGCCGCATGTGTGGTTCCCACCGTGAAGCATGGAGGAGGAGGTGTAATGGTGTGGGGGTGCTTTGCTGGTGACACTGTCTGTGATTTATTTAGAATTCAAGGCGCACTTAACCAGCATGGCTGCCACAGCATTCTGCAGCGATACGCCATCCCATCTGGGTTGGGCTTAGTGGGACTATCATTTGTTTTTCAACAGGACAATGACCCAAAACACACCTCCAGGCTGTGTAAGGGCTATTTGACCAAGAAGGAGAGTGATGGAGTGCTGCATCAGATGACCTGGCCTCCACAATCACCCGACCTCAACCCAATTGAGATGATTTGGGATGAGTTGGACCGCAGAGTGAAGGAAAAGCAGCCAACAAGTGCTCAGCATATGTGGTAACTCCTTCAAGACTGTTGGAAAAGCATTCCAGGTGAAGCTGGTTGAGAGAATGCCAAGAGTGTCATCAAGGCAAAAGGTGACTACTTAGATTTTGATTTGTTTCACACCTTTTTGGTTACTACATGATTCCATATGTGTTATTTCATAGTTTTGATGTCTTCACTATTATTCTACAATTTAGTGGCTTTCACTTGAGTCATTTTCTGTTAATGTATCTTTACTTTTACTGAAGTATGACAATTGGGTACTTTTTCCACCACTGTGCTATATAAATACAGTGGGGAAAAAAAGTATTTAGTCAGCCACCAATTGTGCAAGTTCTCCCACTTAAAAAGATGAGAGAGGCCTGTAATTTTCATCATAGGTACACGTCAACTATGACAGACAAATTGAGATTTTTTTTTCCAGAAAATCACATTGTAGGATTTTTAATGAATTTATTAGCAAATTATGGTGGAGAATAAGTATTTGGTCAATAACAAAAGTTTCTCAATATTTTGTTATATACCCTTTGTTGGCAATGACACAGGTCAAACGTTTTCTGTAAGTCTTCACAAGGTTTTCACACACTGTTGCTGGTATTTTGGCCCATTCCTCCATGCAGATCTCCTCTAGAGCAGTGATGTTTTGGGGCTGTCGCTGGGCAACACGGACTTTCAACTCCCTCCAAAGATTTTCTATGGGGTTGAGATCTGGAGACTGGCTAGGCCACTCCAGGACCTTGAAATGCTTCTTACGAAGCCACTCCTTCGTTGCCCGGGCGGTGTGTTTGGGATCATTGTCATGCTGAAAGACCCAGCCACGTTTCATCTTCAATGCCCTTGCTGATGGAAGGAGGTTTTCACTCAAAATCTCACGATACATGGCCCCATTCATTCTTTCCTTTACACGGATCAGTCGTCCTGGTCCCTTTGCAGAAAACAGCCCCAAAGCATGATGTTTCCACCCCCATGCTTCACAGTAGGTATGGTGTTCTTTGGATGCAACTCAGCATTCTTTGTCCTCCAAACACGACGAGTTGAGTTTTTACCAAAAAGTTATATTTTGGTTTCATCTGACCATATGACATTCTCCCAATCCTCTTCTGGATCATCCAAATGCACTCTAGCAAACTTCAGACGGGCCTGGACATGTACTGGCTTAAGCAGGGGGACATGTCTTGCACTGCAGGATTTGAGTCCCTGGCGGCGTAGTGTGTTACTGATGGTAGGCTTTGTTACTTTGGTCCCAGCGCTCTGCAGGTCATTCACTAGGTCCCCCCGTGTGGTTCTGGGATTTTTGCTCACCGTTCTTGTGATCATTTTGACCCCACGGGGTGAGATCTTGCGTGGAGCCCCAGATCGAGGGAGATTATCAGTGGTCTTGTATGTCTTCCATTTCCTAATAATTGCTCCCACAGTTGATTTCTTCAAACCTAGCTGCTTACCTATTGCAGATTCAGTCTTCCCAGCCTGGTGCAGGTCTACAATTTTGTTTCTGGTGTCCTTTGACAGCTCTTTGGTCTTGGCCATAGTGGAGTTTGGAGTGTGACTGTTTGAGGTTGTGGACAGGTGTCTTTTATACTGATAACAAGTTCAAACAGGTGCCATTAATACAGGTAATGAGTGGAGGACAGAGGAGCCTCTTAGAGAAGAAGTTACAGGTCTGTGAGAGCCAGAAATCTTGCTTGTTTGTAGGTGACCAAATACTTATTTTCCACCATAATTTGCAAATAAATTCATAAAAAATCCTACAATGTGATTTTCTGGATTTCTTTTCCTCAATTTGTCTGTCATAGTTGACGTGTACCTATGATGAAAATTACAGGCCTCTCTCATCTTTTTAAGTGGGAGAACTTGCACAATTGGTGGCTGACTAAATACTTTTTTCTCCCCACTGTACAAACCAACCTCTATCTCTCTTCCTCTCTCTCTCTTCACCCTCCTATGCTGTAACTTCATCCTATGCAGTAACTTCTTGTAATCTTCTTACTCCACCCTCCTATCTCTCACTTTTCTTTCCTGACTACTTTTCCCTCTCTTCCTCACTCTCTCCCTCTGATTCCTCCTCTTCCACAGTGCTCCCCCTCATCTGACCACACAGGGGCTCCAGTCTCCCCCCTGTCGTCACTCCCACTGGTTGGATGATCTTGTCCCTGAGAGAGACAGAGGGAGAGAGAGAGGGAGAGAGAGGGAGAGAGTAGAGAGAGAGAGCGAGAGGAGAGAGGAGAGAGAGAGAGACGAGAGAGAAGAGAGAGATCCGGGGAGAGGAGAGCGAGAGAGAGAGAGAAAATGGCAACATCCATCTATTTCACACACTTGGATAGTCACTAGCTAGAACAGGTATGTACTCACACACAACACGCACACACATGCTCACAAGCACACACACACACCGTGAGAGCCTGTTGAACAGGCCGATGAGTCTTTGTGCCTCCTGCTCTTTCTCCTGCTCCGTCATTCCCTCCATGGGGTCTGGCTGCTCCTCCTCCACCCTCCCCGTCACTGGGTTGATGCGCCCCTTAGCTTCCCTGTGGAACACAGTTACAAACACCTCCCTTGTAAATACTGTCCACTCCTAACAAGTGCACTTCATAGGATTCTGCTAAACACTGTCCCAGTCTCAATTCAATGACCTTTTTCGAAAATTGCTCCTGTTGCTTGTTCCAAGTCCAATCTGTCAGTCCCTAACGATGCATTGTGTCCCTATACAGTATTACAAAGTGTTGTGTTTGTGACATTATCAATGGTTGTTTTACACACCTGTATTCCTCTGTGTCAGAGTCTGAGTCGCTAGAGTACTGGGCGTGGGTCACCTGACCTCCACTCAGCATGCCCCGGGCTGCCAGCAAACCTGCTGCGTTACCATAGCCTGTGTACTTCACAAAACGACTCACTGAGAGACAGACAAAGAGATATATTTACATTTTAGTCATTTAGCAGACACTCTTATCCAGAGCGACTTACAGGAGCAAGTAGGGTTAAGTGCCTTGCTCAAGGGCACATCGACAGATTTTTCACCTAGTCGGCTCGGGGATTAGAACCAGAGACCTTTCGGTTACTGGCACAACGCTCTTAACCACTAAGCTACCTGCTGCTGTGATACGAGCGGGTTCTTCTAACTAAGAGTTAATTTGAAATGAGGAGCTAGTAAGTGTGACAGGAGTGTGATATGATATGGGCACCGTTCTCTTTGCAGAGCACAAAGAGGAGCTCGGCAGCACAGTGCTTGATGTCCGTGTCCATGTGGGTCATCAGGCGCACCAGACGTCCCCTCACTGTGGCCCCCTGCTCCGGCCTCAGGGCCACGTCCCTCAGAGGGGGGAGGATCTGTAGCAGTGGACAGGCAGAGGCAGGTGTTAGTGCTGTGTGGGAGCAAAAACTAGCTGCTATCCAGGAGGGGACAGACAGAGGCCCCAATATCAAAAGTCGAAGCAGGCTTCTCCAACAATGTAAACCGAACATCAGACTAGCATTATCATACCGTTTTAAAGCCACAATAATCAGTTGGAGTTTCAGCCTAACAAAAGAGAACAGTACCTGTTGTCTGAGGTAGTGGCGTGTCTCGCGGTGCGCACGGCAGCTCTCAGTCAATAGATTCAGGACTGGAGTCAGTTTCTCCTTCAACTTCTGACCCTTCATAACAAATACATAGGTGATTTTGTCAGCTTATGACCCTTTATACACATCCAGTATGCTTCCATAGCAATATACTATTGAGATGCAACCCTCCACTGCACACCATGGGGAAGCAAACAGCATCCTCATATGAGATAGGTGCCTCCTTTCCTACCCACTTTCCACTCTCTCTCAATCCCTCCCTCCCTCTGCCTCACCCTGTCCAGGCGTCTCTCCATAAAGGTGAGTAGGGTGTGGACAGTGTCCATGTTGACCCCCTCCCACTCCTGTGAACCCTCCGTCAGATGCACAGACAGCAGCACGTCCAGACATCGCAGGGGCAGGGCAGAGAGCACGTTCACTGTGTGCCTAAGGAGGGTTATAGGTCAAAGGTCAAGGGTTAAGGGTCAGGGATCAGAGGTAAGGAGACATGGGGAAAACCTGAAATGGCACCCATTTAAAAATGATTCAGAACATATCTTTTCCACTTTGCCACGAAAAAGGAAACATTTAGACAACACCTAGAATGGCCACTATTACTTTCAAAAGAAAGATGCACATACAAATGCATGGATAGACAACAGAAGAGGGGATAGCAGAAGCCCTCGTACGTACCCCTGTAACTCCTCATTGAGTTCTTCTCCGTCACAGGTCAGCAGCAGGCAGTGACGTAGCACTGCAGCCAGGTGGCGATAGAGAGCTGCATCCTCCTGAGAGGGACATAAAGAGAAGAGGACAAGTTAAAAAGGCCTCCTGACCACAGATCTAGGATCAGTTTAAACGAACCCTCACTCTTAACTTAAAAAATACTGGATCAGTATTTTGAGACAGCTCTTAGCTACCTATTCCTACCTACTCACAAACTAAAAGCCAGGGATGCTCAATAGAAGACGGACATTAGATATTGGAGTAGATCATGCTATAGGGACAAAGCCACATTTTAATTCTATGGGACTGTCCCCCACCCGAAAAGGAGAGCTGCACACTCTAGGAGCCCAGATGCAATAATTTTATAACCTAATAACCAACGTTTCGACAGACAAGCTGTCTTCATCAGGGTCTACGTTGACATGTTCGATGCAGATATAACGTAGGGACGAAATCGAGTGGTTCGCTTCCAAAAAGTGGGCAGTGACTGGGTATGTCGAGTTTTTGCACCTAATGGTGCTACGATGCTCCGAGATTCGTACTTTTAATTTGCTGCCCACTTTTTGGAAGCGAACCACTCGATTTCGTCCCTACGTTATATCGGCATTGAACATGTCACCCTCCCTAGGAGAGGGGGTGACCTCAATAACTTATTGTTAAAACAAGAGGCTGCCTGGATCTTTAATTTAAAGACCCTTGCTCCGTTCGGTGTCAACGTAGACTTTGATTTGAAGCCATTCTTGAGATTATTGTGATTTTGCTATTCCTTGTAAATGTTTGTGGGCCTATGTAGCCAAGTTGTATCTATGATCGTGTGCTATCTATTCATATTTTTTGTATGTTCTGTTTATCTGTGAATGAACCAATGATATCAGGACACACCCGGCCATGATTACAGACACCTGCGTGTGTCCTTTGACACTATATAAACTAGTGACCCGCAGTGTTTGTCATTATACCCTGATGAAGACAGCTTGTCTGTGGAAACGTTGGTTATTAGGTTATTAAATTATGGAATCTGAGCTTCTAGAGTGTGCAGCTCTCCTTTTCTTTTTCAAGTGTTCTATTCCGCTAGCCAGCACCTCGCCTAAATAGGTGTGCGTTTCTTTCCCCTCTATATCACTCTCCTCCACCCACCTCGTCTGGCTCCTGTCTGTGTATGCTGTATGTGATGTTGAACAGGGTCTTGAGGATCTCCACAGCCCGCTGTGACACCTCCTTAGAGACAGGGGGAGCTCTGTGGTCGCTCAGCAACCTCGTACTGCTTCCCCCCACTGCACGACAGACACTGCTCCCAGAGCTGCAGTCAGCATGGACACCCCTCGCTCCTGCAGGGGGGACAGGGATATGGAGAGAAGAAAGAAGAGATGCAAAGGGGCGAGGAGGATCGAGCCTCCACCCACACCCAAAGGGC